ATATGATGTTTGTCTTTTCTGACATTGTCTTAACTCATAAATTTTATCTCTGGTTGCATTCATTCTTCCACAGATAACATGACATCATCCTTCTTTTATTATTATTATTATTATTTTATTACTTAAAAAATACCAATCCAAATTCCTACACCCTCCCCTCCTCCCACTCCCTCCACAGACCCTACCTAAGAGAGGGCCATGCACCCCACCCTGTGGAAAGTCCAAGGCCCTCCCTACTACATCTAGGTTGAGCAAGACTTACATTTGAAGAGAATAGGATCACAAGAAGCCAGTACATGCTGTCGAGACAAATCCCAGTGTCACTATCAGTGGTCCCTCAGTCTGCCCCAACTGTCAACCCCCTTCAGAGTTGGAGTTGGTGAGCTCAAGCAAACTGTCTCAGTAGATGAACCCCTCATGGTCTTGGATTCCTTGCTCATACTCTCACTCCTTCTACTCTTCAACTGGATTTGGGGAGCTCATTCCAGTGCTCTGATGTGGGTCATTGCCTCTGTTCCCATCTGTTATTGCACAAAGTTTCTATGGTGATATTTAAAATAATCATCAGTCTGACTACAGGGTAGGCCATTTCAGATACCCTCTCCTCTATTGCTTAGGGTCTTATCTGGGGTCATCCCTGTGGATTCTTGGGCATTTTTTTCTAGAGCCAGGTTTCTTGTTACCTCCCTACTGACTCCCTCAATCAAGATACCTCTTTCCTTGCTCTCATATCTGTCCTTCCTCCATCTCAACTATCCCATTCCCTCAAGTTCTCCTCAACCCCACCTTCTCCCGTTCCTCCTACCGCCTCCCTCCATGCTCCCAAATTTTTGTCTGTTTCCAATCCCCAGGAGGACCTGTACTCAACAAAATTGGAAAATGTAAAAGAAATGGACAATTTTTTATATAGATACTATAAAAATACCAAAATTAAATCAAGATCGGGTGAGCAATTTAAATAGACCTATAAGCTAAGAGGAGATAGAAGCAATCATCAAAACCCTCCCAACCAAAAAAAGCCCAGGGCTGGATGGTTATAGTGCAGAATTCTACCATAACTTCCAAGAAGAGCTAATACCTATATTTCTCAAAGTGTTCCATATAATAGAAACAGAAGGCTCACTGACAAACTCTTTTCATAAAGCTACAGTTACCCAGATACCAAAACCACACAAAGACTCAACCAAGAAAGATAATTACAGACCAATCTCACTCATCAACATGGAGGCAAAAATGTTCAATAAAATTCTGGCAAACCAAATCCAAGAAAACATCAAAAAAATCATCTATCATGACCAAGTCGGCTTCATCCCAGAGATGCAGGGCTGGTTCAACATATGAAAATCTATCAATGCAATCCATCATATAAATAAACTGAAAGAAAACAACCATATGATCATTTCTTTAGATATGGAAAAAGCATTTGACAAAATTCAACACCCCTTCATGATAAAGGTCTTGGAGAGTTTAGGGATACAAGGATCATATCTAAATATAATAAAAGCAATAAACAGCAAGCCGACAGCTAACATCAAATTAAATTAAATTGCTTGGATTTGATATCTTCCTCTTCTAGTCCCCATTACCTCACAGGCCCATTTGTAGGTCAGATAGAGGCTTCTTGGAACCTACAGACTTTGAACATCCTTGCTTTATCTCTCACACAGATTCTCCTCTGAACTAAAACCCTGAAAAGTGGTCTTCTGCACATGGCCTTTAATTCAAGTGGCTTCTGTGCCCTGCATTGTGTACATAGGTGTGTGCAGAGGTTCTGACTAAATTTTATACTCAGTGGAAGCTTAAGTGTGACCAGTGTGGTGGTTTGAATAAGAATGGTTTCCATAGGCTCATATACTTGAATACGAGTTATCAAGAAATGCTACTATTTGAGAAGGATTAGAAGGTGTGGCCTTGTTGGAGGAAGTTTGTCGATGGGGTGAGCTTTAAGTTTTCAAAGACCAGCCAGACTCAGTGGCTTTCTCTTCCTGCTTCTGGCGAATCAAGATGTAGAACTCTCAGCTTCTTCTTCAGTACTATGTCTGCCTGTGTGCCACATGCTCCCTATCACGATGATAATGGAATAAACCCCGGAAACTCAAACCAATCCCCAGTTAAATGCTTTCTCTTGCAAAGCATGCCATGGTCATGGTGTGCGTCTCTTCACAGCAACAAACACTAACTATGACAGCCAATTTGCTGGTTCATTGCAGGTCTTTTTGTATAGCATTATGGTAAAGCTCAGCAAGCAGATACTCCATTATGATAGTGTTATGTATAGAACATTCCAGAATAGGACATCCCCAAAAGACTATTCACATAGCAGTTTTTTTCTGCTCAAATGTTGTTGAAGGAGACCAGAACTGATCATCCTTCACACCATCTTCTAAACAACCCCCCCAAATGAACCCAACAGGTATGTTTACATGTGGGCACACAGGTCTATGTGAAACAAAGCTCAATCAAGTATTATTTATTAGCCATTTAATGAGACTCTGGTTAAGTCCTTGGTATGTTCCCAAGCAGTGACAAACTTGTAAAGAAAGCAAAGACAAACTAATATGCTATGTGGAATACATTATTGAGCGTGAAGAACAAAATTCAGGGCAGTATATAGTACGTGCTACCAGATAAATTAGCAAAACATAAATCTGTATGCTTATGTAGGCATGGCAACATTCTAAATGGAAATACAGTATCAGTGGCTGCTCCCAGAGAAAGAACTGAGAATCTTAGACTGAGGAGAACTTTTTACTGAATACTTGTATTGTTTGATATTTTTTTAAAAAAATATGAATTAGTGTTTTGATAACCCTTTTGTAAATATTTACTTCATTTCAGTTGTGTGTGTGTGTGTGTGTGTGTGTGTGTGTGTGTGTATTTATGTTAGGGTATCTGCAAGGACCTACAGAGGCTCACCAATTTGACCTGACTGGCTGGCTAATGAGATTCTAGGACACCTCTGTCTTACTCTCTCCCATCTACTACTTTCCATACATATCCCCTCAACCCGTCCCAGCAGTGGAATTATATATGTGCACTGACACACCCAGCTGTCTAAATGGCTGGTGGGGATCCAAACCCAGGTCTTTATGCTTCTATGGTAGGCACTTTACCAACAGAACCATCTCCTCAGCATATATTTTGATAGTTCTTTAAAATGTTTAGGTCAGGCATAGTATTAAATGCTTATAATCTCTATACAGGAGCTAAGACAGAAGGATCACAAGTTTGAATCCACGTTATGATACACAGTATGACTCTGTCTCAAAAAAAATAAAGCTTAAAATACCTATGTCATATAAGATACCTGTATTTACCTAAAAGAGCTCCTTTCTTATTATTGGATTGGATAAAGGAGAGAGCCACTCTCCTCTCTCCAAATTTTGGCTGTAACCTGACCCTTGCCTGTAAGTTGAGGTGTGTATGACTTTCATTCACATTTTTGTAGTATATATTCATGTCTGGTGACTCTTGAAGCCCTCTGTCCTTTAATGTTGTACATTTGCTCTCCTGCATAGGACCTTGAAATCCACATGACTGTGCCCTGTAGTGGGTACACAGATGCTCCAAGGCACTCAGACTGTGCTTCACACTCAAGCTCTTAATTATTAACTGTTCATTACTTAGCCGGATGTGTCATTGTCTTTGTGAGGCATTACTACAAGAGCTCAGCAACCAGATATACAATATGGTGGTGATACACACAGTACACTCTACAACACTGCCTTCCTAAAACCCTGGGCCTTAAAAGTTTCTTCTGCTCTCAAGAGCTACATAGTTCATGACATTTCTAAAGCCAGAAGAAATCAATGATATTGTTGACAAGATGGCTCAGTGTGTTTAAGTCCTTGCTGCACAGTCTGGAAACCTGAATATGATCTTCAGAACTCATGGGAAGGTCAAAAGAGAAAACCAACTCTACAAAGTTGTTCTCTGATCTCCACATCCATGCCATACATCCCCAAATACACACTACTATTATTTATTATTATTGCTGCAGTAGAAAGTAATCAATGGAGATATATTCGGTGTTCATCTAGATTGCTCTTATTCCATCATTTTTAAAAATTTATTTTATGTGCATGAGCATTTTGCTTGCACATATATGTAGATGGATGTTTCTGTCCCACAACCATTCAGTCCCAAAAAAACACACAGAGGCTTATGTTAATTATAAACTGGTTGACCTATTAGCTCAGGCTTATTGCTAGCTAGCTCTTATAACTTAAATTAACCAATAATTCTTATCTATGTTTAGCCATGTGGCTTAGTACCTTATTCAGTACAGTAGTCTCATATTTCTTCCTCTGTATCTGATTGGTGCCTGTAGACTGAGCCTTTCTGTCCCAGAATTTTAGTTGTCTGGTCACCCTGTCTATATTTCCTGACTGGTTACTGGCCAATCAGTGTTTTATTAAACCAATATGAATGACAAATCTTTACAGGGTACAAGAGCATTATCCTACATCATGTATGTATGCACACTACATGCATTTAGTACCTGTGGAGGGCCAAAGAGAGTATTGGATCATCTGGAGCAGGAATTATAGGCTGTTGTGAACTACCTGATATGGTGCTGGGAACTGAAGCTGGGTCTTTTGGAAGATCAGCAAGTGCTCTTAAACACTGAGCCTTCTCTCCATTATTTCTTACTGTCTCTGTTCATCAAACTCCTTGGCTTGACTCCCAATATCTGCCTCCAGAACACAGACTCTTTTTAAATATATTCCTCCCTTGACATTCGCTTTATGACATGCTATGTCTGTGCTTCTATCTAAGGGGAAGCCAGCCTGCTAGGCATATTCAGGAAAGAAGGATCAGGTAAAGCACAAGCAAGCCCATGGCTTGTCTGTCTTTCATGAGGTTGAATAGACCCAAGCTTCTGACTTTCTGCTATCTCTGTGTGAACAAGACTGTCAGTTAGCCAGAAAGTCAACCCCATCTCTGGAAGAATTTAAACAGACATGCTAAGTATGTTAATCAATGACCCACACGTTGAGTGTTAAGAAGTTCATCAGTTTAATTCAGTCAAAACATTGACATTGCCTCTGTGTAAGACCAAATTTTCATGTCAAACTCCCATGATAAGTGCACAGTGAGACTCTTGAAGGACAAGACTCTGACCCAGGCATGGTGGCATGTGCCTTTAATTCCAGCAGAGGAAAGAGGAAAAATAACTAAACTCTGAGTTGAGCCCCTTGTTGAAGCTCTAAGTCCTCTCTTAGTTCACACTTGCTGCTTTCCTGAGCTCATTCAGTTCTTCAGGCCTGTTCTCCCAGCATTGTTGAAGGAGCTAACCTGAAGATGGATAGCATGGCTTGTGGTACCCAACTGCCACATCTTCAGCGATCAATTATTTGAACCCTCCTTTTAGGGTATATCATTGGGAGCACTTCTCGGGACTCTGAACTTGGATACCTATGGTCAGAGCCCTCCCTCCTGGTTTATCACAGGGAGCACTCTTCAGGACTCTGAATTTCTAGTGATAGGACTGTAAACAAACCATCACACTATGAGCATCACTGACGCATATGCTCTGGGTGATTCTCCTGTCCAGAAAGCTGCTGGAATTGCACCATCTACTCTCAGTTCTTTTCGCTGTCCCTTGTGAACAACTGGCTTGAAGTAAAGATGTGGGATGATCAGGGGTTCCCCGAATTTGAGTGAAGTCAAGTTCCAGCTTCCCTGGGAGAAGTGACAGCTAGCTCACAGCCAGATAGCACAGCCTCAATGAGTAGCGGGGCTTCTTCACATTGTGGGCAGACGAAGGGTCTAGAATGTAGGCATTCCATATTAATAGTATCAGTGTAGGGGATTATAACTTAGAGAACCACAAGAAAGGAATCTCCCTTTAACCCACATTTCTACAACACTGTATGGATTACAGCCTCTCAGAGTATGACCAACACAACCTCTCTACCCATTCTTGTCCAGTCTGTAATCTTGAGAGATTTTTTAACAACCTTAATCTTACAGCAGAAGTTAAAAATCGTTTCCATGCCTTATATAGTAGTACATGCCTCTGTGATCCAAGAATTTGAGAAGTATAGGCAAGGAGATCAAAAGTTTAAGATTATCTTTGGCTCTTTAGCAAATTCAGGTTGTTCTGGGCCATGTCAAATCTTGTCTAATTTTTTTTTTAAATAAGAAGACAAAATATAAACCATGAATAAACATCTACATTCTCTCAGCCCAGGAGCTGTTCCATAGACTCATACGGCATCATCATCTTCTGCTGTGCTCCCTTCCAAAGTTAATGCTGATGTGTACACAGGATGAGAACACTAGCAATAACTAGGAATAAACATCAAAGTTCTCTAGTTCTCTGCGGCTCAGTCTGGCAGGGTTGCGGGTGTGGAGGCATTGACTCCCAACCTGTAGGAGAAAGGGAGACACTTTAAACCTTCACCCTGGACTATCCTTAATCTTGTAGGGTGTGAACCACTATCCCCAAACTAGACTAATTAAAGAAAAGAAAAGATCGGGGTGGCTTAACACATTCCTTGAGGCCAGTGATGAGTGTGAGTGAAGGCAGGACTTGAATCCATCTTTATGCTCAATACTGGTTCTTTTTTAGCTACTCCATGCTTCTATGTGGCCGCCAGCTTGCCTTGGCCCATACAGTCTCCTCTGCAACTCTGAGCTGTCAAGTTGACTTTAAGGCTAGATTACCACCATAGAACTAAGGATCCTCACAAGCAACCACATAGACTCGCCCTTGTGACTAACGACATTTCTATTAGACCTGGGTGTTTTGGTTCTGAGGCTAATACTTAGGGTGTTCTCTGTGCCTTATTTTTTCTGGATATAAACTGCAAGCATGGAGGTGGGACTATAACTCAATGGTACAGTACACCCAAGGCCCTGGGTTACCCCAAGCACTGAATAGAGCAAATGAAGGCCATGGTTATAACGGCTATACTATGCCTACATTATAGCATTCTGTGAAGATTAAATGAGGTGATTTAGTGCAGACACTGGCGATTTGCCTTTTAAGTTATAAAAAACCTTAATAAATGTTATATCTCTCTTCCCTCCTTCCATGTAGCCCTAATGGGCATCAGTTAGCTACTAGACTCAGTGTCGCTTTTGAGCAATGTCCTCTGCAGAAGTTTGAGACCACCCACATTCTGAAGTAGTTCCCAACAACTTCCTAATTTTAGGACATGATTTGGAGCCAATTATTTTCCCCTTTCTGACCCTCCATTGTATGCTCCACATATATCTATTAACGTTAACATATAGCCAGGGAACTAGCTTGGGGACAGTCCTAGGTTAGAACTCAAGCCTCCCAGCCTTGAACACATGATACAACTTTGAGCTAGATATTTGGTCTTCTGGGGTCCCTAAAATTTCAGCAACCCTGGGGCTGTATGGATGGCCTTGTTATAAATATATTCTCTTGACTGGGTCTTGGGAGTCCACAGACACTAAACCCACTGTGAAGGAGAGTTCCAGAATCTTACCTCTTCATACACAGTGTAACTTGAGGAACAGTTCTGGCTCCTCTTCTTGGATCCAGACTAGAAGTTAAGAGGTAAGAAGGTTTAAGTTTAAGATGAGAGATGTCTTGCTCCTGTCTCACATTCAAGATCCCAAAGAGCAAGCCCTTCAGCCAGGAGTCAACAAGTGGTGCTTACTGGTACCCAGAGAAACACAACACATTCTGGCCTATGATGTGTCCTCCTGAAATAAGTCAGAATTTAATTTCTGTACCCACACAGCTCCCAAATCCACAATCACACAATCCTAGTGTTCACAAATACAAACACACATCCTTCAGGCAATCCTAATATAAACACCACTTGAACCCATGTATCATTTCAATACACCCTCCTACAATGTAAACAACTCTAGCATATACATGTGTGCTAACCTTAGCACATATCATGAACACAGTGGTTTTATGAATCATTAGCTATGCTTTCAGTTGTATGTAAATTTTTCTATTATTGTGAGTATGATGTATGATTGGGCATGTTTGCAGCAATGTGCATGTGGAGGTCAGAGGACACCTTCTCAGGAATCAATTCTCTCTTTCCACCATGGGTTCTGGAGCTCACACTCAGGCCACTGGGCCTGCACAGCAGGTGTTCCTATGTACTTAGCCAATCTCTTCACCCCAAGATTTTTATAATATAATACCAAACCAAGCCACAGTGCCTATGAGCATTTATATGTGCATATATCACAGCATGTAATTAAAAAATAAATGTCTCACAGTGAAATCCAAGCGGATTGGATGACGGATTGGTTTAGAAGAAAATGAATGAAATTTGCAAACTTGACCTAAACACTTTCAAACCACAGTCCCTGATCTGCAGAGATTCCCAGTTTTGTGGAATTCCAGTTCCCCATTCTGCTGAGTCATAGCTTGGAGCTCTCCTCTGTGATCCCATCCATGAGAGTGCCACTCTTCTTGCTCCCATGCCCATCAAATGAATAAGCATGAGCCCCAAAACACACTACTCTGTGTTTCCAGAAATGTCTTCCATCTTGACTTCTGTCCCTGCCATTTACCTACCATAAAAAGTCTAAGAAAATCCTACAATTCACTGTTCTCTGCATCTCAGAACTGTTCTTTTTTCCCACAGGAAGAATTGAAAAAGCATTTTTCCTTTTTAATCTCTAAACATTTAGATATGATCATTTAACAGAAGCTACTGGGTTATACAGAACACAGCTCCCTGGGGTATACACACATGCTCTGCAAACACAGTATAGTACACACATGCAAGACACACATTTGTTCAATGAAACCCTCCAGAGGAATAGACTCCTCACCTTCCTGGAAGGCTGGATTGCTGAATAAAGTGTACATTTTTCATGTGATGTGGAATCAGAAGGCTAATGAGAAAAAATAAAAAGTATTTCATAAATAAAGATTCAGCATAACCCTTTACCTCAACTCTGCCTAAATGTAAGCTTGGTTAATCAATGAGAAGTCTGGAGCAGCTGAGGGATAGGACCTGACATTAGTTCCACTCTTACTGTTAGTAACAATAGCCATTTGCTGTGCACTTATTTTATCTATATTTTTTGTTTCCTAACTCTTATGTTAAATTTGAAAAAATAGGACTGTTCCTTCTGCTACATACAAGGTTACAGATTGAGAAGAAGAAAGGGAAGAGGATGAATAAGAAAGAAGAAGAAGAAGAAGAAGAAGAAGACGAAGAAGAAGACGAAGAAGAAGACCTCAGTACACAATAGATGTAGAATTCAAGCCCAAAATTTTCCAGAGTTTCCTTAGTAGTTCAATGACTCCTTTTAGTCACACCTTCCTTCTCTAGACCTAAAATGCATGTTCATGGGGCAGACAACCATCTCCCTGGTAAGATAATCCAGGGGAGGAATCTCATTTTCATTCAGCATCCTGTTTAAGATGAGTTCTTCCTTGGGTTTGTTCAAGTTGTTCTCTCTCAAGCCCAGTGTGGCTAAAACCAGTGAGCTGGCAGGTATCATTCACTCTCGGGATGAATTTCTTTGTGATACAACTTTGTCAACAGGCTGAGGGTGTTGCTGTTCCCAGACTTGGTCCTCAGAAAGTGAAGGGGAGAGAAGAGGGGAGGAGAAAGGGAGATAACAGGAAAAGAAGGCTTTCATCAGAAACTTCACTGCTATCCATCACCAAGTATTTTCCCTTGGAAGAGAACACCTGACTCTGGTTATCAACGAAGTCATATTACTTGCCAATAATAGAAAATGTCTTAGTAATTCATGCATGAACATCTCTATTGTCTGGTGTTAGAGGCATGGCAGGAAGAGGTAGGATGGAAATTGAGAAACTGTTTGGCTCAACTTTCTTACAACTATTCTATGTGACCTTGTTCACATCATTTAACCCAAGTCTTAGATTCCTCATTGGTAAACTTCATAACACTGCCAAGAGAGATTTATTAAGAAAATGGTCATTGTTGTTAGTTCTAAATAAGATTCTTTAAGATCAATACACAACTGTTCTTTTTTTAAGGGAGATAATGATTAATGGTACCATTCGGATAATCAGTACAAGAACTCCAGTTCTTTGTATCAGAGGAAAAACATAAGCTGAATCCTGTAACAAAGCTCATTCTCCCACAGACAGCCTTGTCTAGATTTCTGCTATATGTGAACAAGTGAAAATCACTGTCAAGATACTCTGAGGATCCTTTATAGAGCTGGATGGAGGGGAGAGGACCTTGGACTTCCCACGGGTCATGGAACCCTGACTGCTCTTATGGCTAGAGAGGGAGGGGGTGTGGGGGGGGAGGGAAAAGGGAGGCGGGGAGAAGGTGGAAATTTTTAATAAATAAAAAAAAAGATACTCTGAGGATGCTGATCATTTCAAACACTTTTTAGAGCACTGGTGCTGTCTTCTGGCCCCCAAGAAACACCAATGTCCCATTCTCCTTCAATGGTATGTTTTAAGTAAGGCTTGGGAAGTCCCATATACAGGAATAGGATGGATTAGAAAGGTTAGAAAGTACCTTGTATTGAATCATAGAGTAGATGGTACCTCCATCTCTAGGAGTTTCCTGCTCCAGTGTCTGCTCCTGCATAGAAGAGTGAAGGGATTATATAATAGTCTATCTAGGCTGGAGTTGAGCAGTGGGCATCACAAATAAGCGGTCTCCAGGAGGAGGGAGGTGCAAAACTGGAAAAGACTCATCATCAAACATCCCAGGATGAGGAGAGAGGTGAAGAACAGTGAATTGCTGTGGACAAGCAGCAAAGAACCACCCAGGAGTCAACAACCCAACAGGTTTCCTGTCTTTTTCCTCCCTTTAATAATGTAAACTCCCTTCTTGCCTTTGCTGGCTTTTATACCAACACAACCACTGACAGTAGGAAGAGCTCTCTGCAGATCTGTAACCTGAACTTTTCCTCTTCAAGACATTGAAATTAGAGGTCCAAACATTTTAAAGATGTGGCAGTCGTAAGGCTCCTCTCCAGATCCATGCCTCATGGTTGGCTTACCCTGGGCCTCAGTCAACCCCAGAGATGTTATAATTCTAAGTGAGAGCCTTGTCTTGACAAGGCCAGAGAGCACACACTCCTTCCTTCTTTCCCTCCCCTCATGCCTGCTCTACAGGCAATTAGAGATGGAAGTATTTCATCTTGCATGTCTCCAATAACACAGTGCCAAGTGGGGTTCTCATGGGGTCAGGAAGGCTAGGAGAGTTCAGTAGGTGAGCTCTTCAGAAGTAGGAGGTTGAGACACAGAGAAACATCAGCCATTCTTGGCAGTTAGAAAGTCAGCAGGAGTTTGTTGCTTTTCTCTTCTGTCCAGACCCATGTGAACTGTCTCCTAAAAGGTTGAATCTGTGACCCAAAGGGAGGCCACATGAAACTTGGAATGGAGGCTTTCAAGCCAAAACCCTGAGTAGTGAAAAGACAACAGGACAGGCTGAGGTCAGGCAGGGAGGAACCTCAAGTCAAAAGGTGGTCAACAGCCTGAGTCCCCAAGAGGCTTCTTTTGTTCTAAATAATCTTTCTTCCTGTGGTCCCCTTATTTTACCTAGCCTAAAGTCTTCTTTATTTGGGGTGATGGGGAGCATAATTTTTACAAGCATTTGGGCATCAGGTGGCTACAGGTAGATACATGTGCCATAAGAACTAATAGCAGTGGGAAAATCCATCTTCTCTTTAGTTCCCACAGTCCAGTAGTTCACTGCTAGGACAAAGATGAAGGCAAAGGGAGCTTCTCTCAGCAAGCTAAGAAACAGACTTGAAAAATCTGTTCTGTGACATAAGAGATGAACCCATGTGTCTCTCACTGCTTAGCAAAAGACAGGGGGGTGGGAAGAAAGCCCTTCCTCTCTTCTCCTACCACCCTTCCCACCAGCACTAGCTGACTAAGTACTGTCCCCTAAGCCTGTCACCATATCCTGACAACAGTACTGAGAGCACCTGAAGGCCCTCTGAAGGTTTCTTCTCCTAGCTGACTAGAAGATCTAGGACCTGAAGAGAGCTTGGAAGAGAGGGGTCTTCATAGGCGAGCCTCTGGGTTTGCCTACTCTGTACCGAACCGATTGCTTTCTCTGCTACTTTAGCCGTGCTTGGGCTCCTACCCAACTGTCTGAACACAGACCACTGAGGAATCTGCAAAACTCTTTCAGTCTGCCTACTCATGCTCCCCAGTCTGGGCAGGGATTAAGAGAATCACAACAGAGAGCTCTTATCTTCCAATCTCAGAAATATGGTCAAGTAATAGAATTATGAAGGTCACACTCATCTTGGCATTCAGCTGGTGAGACTGAGTCAAAATGAGAATGATGCCAGAATGCGGTCTGGGAAGGCAGTATTAGCCACATTCTGCCCTCTGCTATAGATTTTTGCTGATTTGTGCCCCTTCTTAGCAGGTACAGAACAGCCCATGATGCCCTTTCTTAGCAGGTTCAGTACAGCCCTGTGATACCCATTCTTAGCAGGTACAGTACAGCCCTGTGATGCCCCTTCTTAGCAGGTACAGTATAGCCCGTGATGCCCGTTCTTAGCAGGTACAGTACAGCCCCGTGATACCCCTTCTTAGCAGGTATAGTACAGCCTGTGATGCCCCTTCTTAGCAGGTACAGTACAGCCCGTGATGCCCCTTCTTAGCAGGTACAGTACAGCCCGTGATACCCCTTCTTAGCAGGTTCAGTACAGCCCTGTGATACCCCTTCTTAGCAGGTACAGTACAGCCCGTGATGCCCCTTCTTAGCAGGTACAGTAGAGCCCTGTGATACCCCTTCTTAGCAGGTACAGTAGAGCCCTGTGATACCCCTTCTTAGCAAGTACAGTACAGCCCCGTGATACCCCTTCTTAGCAGGTACAGTATAGCCCGTGATACCCCTTCTTAGCAGGTTCAGTACAGTCCCCCTTCTTAGCAAGTTCAGTACAGTCCATGATGCCCCTTCTTAGCAGGTACAGTACAGCCCTGTGATGCCCCTTCTTAGCAGGTTCAGTACAGCCCTGTGATACCCCTTCTTAGCAGGTACAGTACAGCCCTGTGATGCCCCTTTTGCCCTGTTTTCATTATCTCTGCACCATTCCTTTTCCCCTTCATCTGTTTGGTCAGAGCCAGGAAACTGGTAGAGAAAAAGTGGAAGAGGGCTGAAGATCACCTCGAAAAGACACCTGTTCGCTTCTCTTTGTTCCCTTCCATTTTCCTGGATGACTGAAAGAGATTCTGAGGCCCCAGAATGTCCTACTTGATTTCTCCTGACTTGTGGGTTCTTGATATCTTCATATATTGTTAAAAATTCCTTAGGATCAGACTCTGTGTAAGGAGGAAAATAAAGATCAGAACTTCAGAAACATTATGAAATTTTTCTGTCCAGGCTTCTACTTCACAAGTCACACCTCTAGCACAGATGGTAAAGATCTTAAGAATGGCTCTAGAAATCAGTCAGGTTAATGCTCTTGCTAGGATACCTAAAGAGCACAGTAGAGTCACAACCCCTCCCTTAACAAACATCCTCCACCATGCTGGGAAGTCACCAACAAACTAGGCACCTTAGATAAACCAGTACATTGGGAACCATGCTGTAAATATCCTGAAGCCAGCACCGCTAGTGTTAACAGGAAGTTGCAGACATTGGTTGTCCTCTCCCACCCATATTCACACAAACCCAACACCTCTCCCAGGAAAGGAGAAGCCGTGTGTAGAGTATAGCCCATGGACACAGGGTCATCCCACTGGTCCTGATGCTTCAAGCCCCAGCGCCCCTTCTGGGGTCTTCTACTCACGTGACTGCTTTCTCTTCTTATCCCACACGCAGAAGCAAGTGACAGCACCGAGAAATAGTAGGGCTAGAATAACGATGATCACCACAAGGGGCAGAAGTCTGAATTCTGAGGGACACAGAAGGTAGGAGGACTGAGCCCTCACTTCCCCATATGTCAGCTTCAAGAACTATCCGTAAGCTCACTGTCCTCTTTTATGTGACCAGTCACCTCGCATCCTATGAGTTCATCACCCTGTTGTCCCTCCTGAGTTGGGTGACAGACTGGTCCAGATGACCTGTGCTACTTACTTACCTCATCAAGGTAATTTTCTTACCTGAAAGAAGGAGTTACTGTTTTTTCCTTCTAGGGGCTAATTACATGATCTGGTACCCATAAACATCTTGCATAGCAATGGTTACATCTATCTACTCTTTTCAACACAGCAAATATTCACCACACACCTACTACTACAAACCTTCCATTTCTCCTTCCTGGTTCTTCCGCCCTCACTGCTCTTGATCTTTTTGACCTTCTACATTTATCATTTGTATTATACATGAATGTTATGTAATCCAACCAACAAGAAGAGAATGGGAAAGAATTTCATGTTACAGGTGTCCACTAACGAGCTTTTCATAGACATCTCTCTTGATCTTAGCAGCAGTTCTGTAAGGCACCTCTTATTATCAATCCCATTTACCCAACTGAAAAATAGAAAGAAACAGATCCCAGTAAAAACATGATGGAACAGTGATGGCATAGACGCCCAAACCAGTGTCCCTGTTACTACGCTTTACCTCATTCCTGTTGCTTTTCTGCCCATGAATAATTTAATGTTGTTGCCCATTTTGTTGTAAGTTTATTTTTTCTTCTTTTCTTTTTTCCTGTTTTTTTTTAAGGAAAAATTCTTATATAATAGGGTGGGGCCAGTTCTAGCTAATGCACAAAGGGGAACTGTCTATGAACAGAGATTTTTTACATTTTGCATGGGTTCTAACTAAAACATTGTATTTTCACATGGGCTTTCATCTGAAAATCTCTTTTAGAGTTCCAGAAACTTTCAGCAGTTAAACATGCTTTGCAGAGACAGAAACTGCAAGTTTGGTTGCATAAGGACATTCACAATAAAAAAAAAAATTCTGTTATCTCAACAAGGGCCAGAGCTGCTTTTCCGGGGCAACTGTTAACCACAGTCACCCTGGCTACTGGCAGAACTGTGCTTTTCCTGATAGAAGGCAGAGGGCTGAAGGAGCAGCTGTCTGTCAGGGTTATCTCCTCTAACCCTTTCAGCAGAGGCAGGCTCCTATTGACTTGGAAAGAGAATCAAATGGGCAGTTGTAAGCAACCAGAGTCATCTCCTTTGAAGGGCCCAGCAGAGACTTGAGTTGCTTTCTCTTCTGTGTAGCTTTATGTTTTGTTTTGTTTTTGTTTTTCAAGACAGGGTTTCTCTGCAGTTTTGGATCCTGTCCTGGAACTAGTTCTTGTAGATCAGGCTGGCCTTGAACTCACATGAACTTATTGGTAGAGAGATTCTATACATTAGTTTATGATTTCCATTTTCTCCTTCAGTATCTATGCTTTGAGTTAGTACAGTTCAGATCTGCAGTTTCACAGAGGGCTTCCAAGCTCAGGATTCCTAGCAGTGACTGCCTATTCCCTCAGCAGTGTGTTTCTGGAGGCTAAGAATTGAGCGTTTTTTCTAAGGCTGCTTGCTAAGGATTTGGGATCTCCACTGAAGGGTCCTCAGAGGCACAGGCCACTCACTGGATAGAGAACACTGATACAGGACACTGTCATGGTGGGGCTGTATTTCCTTGACAGCTCCACCCACAGCAATGTCAATCAGTGGTCCTGGTGCCTAAAGTGGATGGCAGTAGACCTCCATCCAGAATCCAGGCTCAAATGTGGATTACTTCAGGTCCAGGCCTGTGGAAACACAAGCAGTGCTCCAGGAAAAGGTTCTGAGGACCTATTCTTCTGCTCTTTCAGTGTTTTCCTCCTCTGAAAAGGAAGAGATGTTCCTGACCCCAAGATAAGAAAATACACTCCATGAACTTAAACTTAGCACTGTGGAAACCTGAACCCAAAGTAAGGCACTGCACATATTTCCTGCTGCAGATTTAAGAACAGAGACTCTAAGGGTTGGGTTGAATTGGTTGGGTTGGGTCAGAGTGGTGGGGGTTGTGTAGGGTTAAGTTGGTTGGTTGGGTTGGATGGGTTGGGGATAGTTGGGATGGGATGGGTATTTTGGGTGGGTTGTGAATGGTTGAATTATCTGGGAAGGGTTGGGTTGATTGCAATGAGTTGGGTTCAATTAGACTGGGTGATTTGGGTGGGGTTTGGTGAGTTGGGTAGGCTGGGTTGGATGCGTTAGGTGGGTTGCGTTGGGTGGGTTGGGTTTGGTGGACTATGTAGGGTTGGGTGGATTGGGTGGGCTGTGTAGGGTTGTGTTATATTGAGAGGGTTTGTAGGATTGAATTGATTGGGTGGGCTGTGGAGGGTTGGGTTGGGTTGAGTGGGTTGTGTAGGATTGGATGGGTTGGGTAGGTTGTATAGGGTTAGGTGGGTTGGGTGAGTTGGGTGGGTTGCATAGGGTTGAGCAGATTGTGTTAGATGGGTTAGGTTTGGTTGGATGGGTTGTATAGGGTTGGGTTAGGTTGGGTTAGGTGGGCTGTGTAGGGTTGTGTGGGTTTTATTGGGTT